GAAGCAGGAAAAAAGGAAGGGGAAAGAACTGGGTGGGCTGCAGAGGCAGTAGGAAAAGCAGGACCAGCTGCATCCTGCATAAATGCAGGTCAGCTGAAAAGTATAGTATGCACTTGAAAAAGTTAATGGAGCAAATTCAATAGCAGAGGTGGGATTGTTGATGTTTTTGCTCGCTGCTCCGGTGAGTCCTGGCAGCTCTGCCAGCATCCTGGCCATGCAGCACGCCCATGTTATGAGCACGTGAGCCTGTGGGCTGGAGCGTTGTCCTGCCACCCCTCGGTCTCTCTTGCAATGGAAGTGGGTCATTCTGTACTTTCAGAGTACAGGGAATGATAAGATCAGCTGATAGAGCTCCTTCTCAGGCGTTTTTTGTCAAGCACAAGCAAAGTTAACAGCTGCCCAGCTTTCTTGTCAGAATGAATACACAAGTGCTGCTCGGAACAGCAAGAGACCTGCCCTGAAAGCTCATTTAATGAAGGCAGAGTGTTTTATTGTCTTCATGCTACTCTGAGAGGTTGTCAGAGCTGCAAGCAATGGCCAGGTTGAGTGCATGGATGGGTCTAGATTTTACCACAGAGCTCAGCAGCCTTCTTTCTAGGTGTAAGAAACAAGTCAGCTTTATCTGTTAGAAGAGAGTTTGTGAAGCAGAACAGGACCAGCTGAAAGGATCTTTCATTACCGTGGGTGTTACCACCACCAAATGACAAACCTGCTGTTTGGGCTTGTGTCTGAACACAAGTAATTGCTTTGGTTTGTTTCTTTATTCAGCATCAATCTGCTTTTAGAATGAAAAGCCACTGATGGCCAATTCATCAGAGCTCAGCCCATTCCCACCAAAAGTGCAGAAGTCTTTGGATAAATGGCATAGCCATTTCAGCAAACAAATTGGTGTTAGGCGACATCTTCCATGTCACATAGCCCTTCAGCCTCTGGACCACATGCTCAGCAGTTGTTTAGAGTGCAATGAAAAGAATAATCCTTCACTTCTGAAATAGCACACGCAGATATACTCTGTCATTGGCACCAGCACAGCCCTTTCCCTTTGGAAATATAATGGTTTGCACTACCAGGTGTGTGGAGTCCTGACATCCCTGTGTGCTAGCTGTTATGTCTCATTAAGATGGTCTCCTCTTTTCTGTCAGCACCTACAATAAGATATGGACAAAAGCCCAGAAAGACCTGGACACCCAACTCCAGACAGAGAGAGAACAGTTCCTCCAGCCGGAGAAGGACCGTGTGAAAGCATTCAGGATGCTGTCTGCTTCCTACATCGAGTACCTACAGATCTTCCATCACCTGGAGGAGGCTCACAGCCACCTCATTCACCAGCAAAAACGGGCAGCGATTCGGCAAGTGCTGGATGGAGTGATTGGCCGGATCCTGGAGGTGAAGAAAGAGATGGTGGAGCTGGAGAACTCGGAGTTTCATTACACTGATAATATCATTGAAGATCTGAAGCTTCTCCCGGTAGGTCTGCCTTGATTATAAGGCAAAATCTTGAGGTTGTGCTGTAAAAGCAGCGTGAGAAACGAGCTGTTAACAGCTAGTTACTTCTCTCGCAGACAGCTCCACCTATTGTCACGTTTAGGTACCACTGATAACAGCTCTTAAATAAACTGAAGCTTCAAGTATGGCTGCTTTCTGGATTTCAGCTATAACTGGAGATAAATTGCCTCCTATGTAGCATTAATCTGAGATATGCAGCCATAGTACTGGCTGAAATTGCATGCGTATTTCACGCTGCAAACTTAGGCTAGCAATTGCCAAGAATTTCAACCATCCCTTCACTTTTAAGCACAGCAGAGCATTATTTTGAGCTATGAGAAGGCATGCTGGAGAGTATAAACACACCTGTGGGGGAACTGATCCTTCAAGTGGTATTCTGAAATCATTAAGGGTTGCTCTTTTCGTGACTTATCAGTAAATCCACCTGCAGGGGAGAGTTGGCAAGCCTGAAAAGCAATGCTTGACATCTAGTAAAAGCCAAGCACGAATTCAAATCCCTGTGCCACACCTTTGTTTTAGGAAGGCATGAAGTGCCTAGCTACTGCAAAAATAAAAGTAAAAATAAAGTGAAAGGAGCTGAAGAAGTTTTGTTCCATGTTTCCTCTCCTTTTTGCTATATTGCTAAGGAGAGGCAGGGCCAAGTTTCATCTTCCTCTGATTTTTGTACAATTGCCTTCCAGCACTCAGTGACTCCATTTACTAGGGTAATTATAAAGGTATTTGGATACACACATCCCATACGGAGCTGGGTGTTGCCTAAAAGGCTGCAAATTTGACGTGAGGATAAACATCTTAAATCTGATCTTTCAGTGTTGGGCCTCAAAAAGAGATTATGAAGAGAAGCCATCCGTGTGCTCCCCACTCCTGCCTGTCTCGGTATTATGGCTTGGATTTCATCTTTGCATTCAGTAAAAGTCACAGCCCAGAATTTCTGGTGATTAAAGCCCAGGTTAGCTAGCTGAGCAGTTCCTCATCCCTGCACTGATTCATCATATGCAAGGTCATCCAGACAAACCACTTGCTCTGAGCAGCCTGGTCTGGTGGTTGGTGACCCTGCAACACAGCAGGGGGCTGAAACTAGACGATCTTGGAGGTTCTTTTCAAGCCAGGCCATTCTATGATTCAATACAATACAAACAACAGGTTATGCCACTGCAGCGTCTTCACTTCTGGGGCATTTCTGTCTGCCTGCCCATGTCTTATTCCAAATCTCAAGAGTGACATTCTGTAGGAGAAGAGTTGGTAGAAATGTGAATTGTTTACATCCTCTCAATGATGGAAATGAATAAAGACAACCTCTTCTAATCAGGCCTGATTGTGAGTAGTAACTGAGATATCCCAGTCATTGGCAGTGTAAAAATACCTGAAGGCAAACTGAATTATATGCTTTGGTTCCTTGTAAAGGTTCCAAAAAATGCAGGAGAACTGATCTATTTTTCATGCTGATTAGAAAAAGAAGTGGGATGATCACACAGCCAGAGGTATTCAATTCCACAGAAATCATGTTTAAATTACTGGCAGCCCTGCCAAATGTTTTAACAGTTTCATAATATAATTGAGCCATTATAGAAAGAAAGATTTCTGGTCTGCTATGGTTCAGAAACTGGGCTGATTTATTTGTTGCTGTTGAATTAGGCCTTAAGTAATTGCACAGTAACAGCTCGGCAGCTGTAACAGAGGTCAGGTTCCCTAACACTCCAAAAAAATTCAATAATCTCACTGCCATTTAATTGCTTTGTAAAGGTGTGCAGCTAATAAGTAATATGATTTTCACGCAGTTTTAAAAAGCACCTCACAACTATTTTTTTCCTATAGGAAGACACAGAAATACCTATCCCAAAGTATTTTATTAAGGAGAATCTGGAAGGCTTGCAGCAGAGAGAGAAAACTCTGGATGAGATTTTGTTGAATGCCGGATTGGCAACGCAGGTAAGCGTGCCATATACCTACACAATAACATGCTTAATTTTGTAGCTTATAGCCATGCATGCCTGAGCGTGAGCCACTGAAGTAAGAAGTATTTTTATGGTAGTTAAGTCCATTTGCAGATGAGGCTCAAACGGGAAGTAGCATTGAGTTTTTCTGCCTAACAATACCCAGTCACATCTCAAACCTAAGACTGCAGAAATGAATTGACTCCGTGTGTGCGAGTGTCAGAGAAAGGGCAGCGCTTGGCTCAAGCTTAGAAGCTGCTTTATTTACCCAGCTAACTCTCCTCACATAATCAGTCCTACTGAAATCAAGGTGGGCTTCAGTTTTACTGAGCCAGGGTTTCTGGCTGGAATGGGCAAAACTCAGAGTTCAGATCAGCACAGCAGCATTCAGTTGTTTATAACCTCCAAACAATGACTGCAGTCTCTTCCATACAGCCATCGAGCTGCAGCTGCTAGGAGGAGTAGAAAATTGGGTTTTGGCAGAGCAGAAGTCATTGTGGAGAAGTACATGAGTGCTCTGGTGAAGACTGTTCTGGATTTGATATACTTCTGACCTCTTGGAAATGGCCCGCTGCCTGCAAGCAGCCCTCTCACCTCCTGAAATAAACAACTGGGCTGCTGTGTCTGCAGAGTGAGTTTTGTAGATGCTGCAGCCATAAGAGACAGTCCTGATCAGACCCACAGCCACCGAATCCTCTGCAGTAATTGTGCTGCTGGGGGAAGTCTGCTTCTCTGCTGGGTATGTGGTAGCATCGATCCCACAAAGCGACCGAGGGAAGGTTCCCAGGCACAGAAAGAAGCAGTGTGCAGAGGCAGAACACTGATTACTTTGATGGGCAGCTGCAGCCCCGCTGGCCTCCACAGTAAATTTATGGGTAAATTCTGTAATGGTCTGATGTTGGTCTGTGGAAATCCTCTGTTACTTCTTGGAGTCTTTTTGTTTCCCACAGTTCTGTTCTCATTCCTTTTCAGCATGGCAGCCATGAACAGGTGAGCCTTTCCAGCGTGCAGCCAGCTCACCTGCAAGCACCAGGCTCTGGCAGGGTCCAGGTTCCCTTTGCCAGGATGTCACAACAAGATTCATTGTTAATAAACATGAAGAAAACAATCTCATATGAACCTACTATGAATCCCATGCCTTATGCTATGCTCCAGTTCCACCACTGCTGCGATTGCTGGAGGGTTGTTAGCACCTCTGTATGTATCACAGCAAGCTGTGTACACTCAGGAAATCCTGACTGCTGTGCAGCAGAGCACTGTGCTGCTGAGTGTCCATGGCAGCACTGTTACAAACAGCTGAGAGTACACACAAAACTCTGGAGTTTTATCAAAGGACATGGGCTTATTAAAGGAATCTGCTGCACAGACTATTTGTTCTCCTGTGTATTTCCATTGTAGAAAGCCCTGCTGAAAATGTTGTATAGCGAGCTCCACACAATATATATAGAAGCACTGAATGTGAACTGTCTCCAATAGGGGGATTAATGTCAGGAAAGGACAGTAATTCAGCCTTTCCATGGGGAACACGAGGCACTGATGAGTTCTCAGAAGTAGGAAGGAGTTCTCTCCAGCTGCCCTGTTCTGACATGCTTTTTTCCCTAAGTCAGACCTTCTGACCAGGTCTGGCTAGCTCAAATCAGCCTGTTGTTTCACTCAGCAAAAGAGCTGAGGATCCAGCAGTCCATCCAGGAACCCATCCCTACAGAAACCAGAGGAAAAAAAAAAAGACACTGCACAGCCCAAGGAGTTTTTCTTTTAGTGGGAGAAAGCTCTATGGTTCTTCATGCCTTTTTTCCCAAATGGGTAACGCTTAGCAGGTAGCATAAACCATTTGTGTTTCCCACTATAGCATCAGGAGTTCCTTGCTGCTCAGAGGTGTGCCCCAGAGTTTTAGCATCTCTTTTCTCTCCATCTTCCACCCATTCATTCTGCTATGTCCAGTCTCGCCACCTACCTACCTGGGATGCCACAGAAACGACAGCAGTGTGTCAGGCTCACTTTCTCCTTAAAAATTGTCTCTGGAGATAGCAAATTTCAAAAATACCACATGATGGCCCTGCAAGAAGAGTCTCTGCTGTTTGTAGCAGAGATGTTTTGTCTTAGAAAGTTTCCACTAAAGGTTAATTCACTGTCTCATCTGCTAACTGAGGTAGGCAGTTAACAAAACCGCTCTGCTTTGTCCTTTCCTCTTTGGCTGCGCTGCTGAAGAAACCTGTCAAGGCCATGACATTTGAAGAAGCCATTAAAATGATCCAGGTGGCAGAGCGGGCTCGCCAAGGCCGGCGTCGAGCATTATTCATGAAGCAAATCTACCTTGAAGAGAAGAGAAAAAGACATACCAAACTTCGGGAACAGGCTGGTCCAAATCCAGATGACGCCGCCACCTGCATTCAAAAGGTGAGAGCTTTGATGTAACGAGAGTTCTGCTGAGAGCAAGGGACAATATGTTTTATTCAGAAGAACAGCGGTAGAGAGAGCAACACAGCTCACGGGGTGGGAAACACTCTGAATGGATTGCTCTCAGGGTGTTTAGCAAGGTGAAATACATCATTTAAGCCGCTTAAAAAAATGAGCCATAACCCTAGTGGTGAGATCAATGGAAACAGCCCTGCTCCGGCGGTGCAGGATGACTCTATAACCTACATGTTGTTTTTCTGCTCTGATTTTTATGACCTCAATTGCTCTTTCTGGCATCACCTTGAAATGCAGTGCCTTTTCCTGGGGTCTCTGGGGAAAGAGTTCATTTCATATCTTGAGAAAAATGAGAATGCTAAATTCCAGAAAAATTCCTTATGCATGACTAATTTGGAATAATTCAGCCTGATGAGAACAGGAATTCACTCTGAATCCTTAAACGCTTTCTGAACCCTGATGTTGTGCTAGAAGATAGGTCTGCCAGTGCAAGAGGATAACAAACTTTAGAATTTCTTTTTTAAAGAACGTAGCAGCTGCTAACCTGTTAAAGAGTAATAGTTTCAATTGTATATTGTGCCTTTCCTTCCTCTATTTGTTTTTTCCTCTGTCTGCCACAGCAAAGGAAGCTGTAACAAGGCCCATTTATCTCATTAGAGTTTTGTTTACAATTCAGGTTTGGCGAGGATATATCCAGCGCAAGAAAACAGAGAAAATGAGAGAAGAGGAAATGATATTTCTGGGGATGGTAAGTGGTGCTGTCTAGAGAACATAAAGTACCGTGGCCTGTTTGTTCTTCAGACTTTTGTAATTTAACACAAGATAAGAAATTAGTTTCTAAGAGTCTTCCCTTCTTAAAAGGAGTCTCTAAGGAATGCAGAACTAAACGGAAATGATAGATGGCACAGAAGTACCTCAATTTGTCTTAAGCTCTTGTGCTTTGTGTACACAGTGCACATGGCAGAAGGGGACAGTTTAGAGTTTGCCCCAGGAATGTGATGCAGGCGTGACAGAGAAAGGGAATTCTATTATCAGTTTTTAATTCAGAGGGCCAAGACAATTGAAGAATTAAAAGAGCAGTGTCTTCTCACAACCTTTTGCAACCTAGCGTGTGCGTATGGCAAGAGAAGGGAAAGGGACATTAGAATTACCACATTGCAATGTCAGTGTAGAAACAGAGAACCTAAATATTGCAGAAGTATAGGGAAGTCTGCGGTCAATTAGATTGCATAGGGTAAAAGTGAAATGAAAGTGACCCTACTGACAAGGCAGATGGAGAGAGGAATCTCCCCCAATCCAGAACGCACATCTCCTCCCACCAGCACCCTTCCTTCAAGTCCTTGTGAAGCTGCTTCTGAGCACCTGCCTCACAGAGGATCCATCTTTGCTTTTCATTTGGTTTATTTATTATAGCTCTTAAATGATCATTTGAAAAACAATGATTTAATTTTCAGCGAAAATACGCATTTTGCTTCTCCCAGAGAGTTTGAAAGGTTTCCTTAGCCAACAATGGGATTACACTTCGGTTGGTTATGGCTCTTATGAAAGCTAGTTGTACCTGCAGCAGACATCTGCCAAACACATGTCATCAGTTAAGAATGACCATGAAATCTTATCCGTAGGAAGTAGCATGTGCATTTATCTGAGTTTCACCAAGTTAAATACAGATACACTGTTATGGATTATTGCCTTTTGTATCTGCTAGTCATTAACAGTAAGCGTGGCCAGCTTAGGTAACCAGAGCTTGTCTGCTGATTCTGATTCTCTTTAAGACAAAGATTTTAAGTGGCATAGACTAAATGAGGAATGTTTGGAACGTACTGAAAAATATATATTAGACAATATACCTTCTGCAAAACAAGGCATCATTTCCTATCAAATCCCATAACAGTTTCTCACAAGTCTTCACAGCCAAGCACTCCTCTCGCAGTGGCAATGGAAGGAGTAACAGATCACTAGGGCATAAATAGCCACCTACTGCATTTTATGAGAAGGAAGATCTATTTGATCACAGGGATGAAGGGAATTCAAACCAAACACATGGATTGAATTCATTTCCTGACCTCCAGTTAGGAGCGAGAGAATTGATGTTTTCAGTTCTGCACTCAGACTCATTACTCTTTATCAAGTACATAATCAAAATAAGCGGGAGAGGGGGGAAGAATACCTCTAAATAAAAATAATCTGTTCATATTGCTGGTATTTTTATATTTCCCCGTTGTGTTCCACTTTTACTTTTCATGCCACATTCCCATCCATGCTCTCCAAAGGAAATGAACGGCAAGAAAGCATGGGTTCCCACTGATAGATAGGCAGCGAGCTCCAAAGGTCAAGTCTCTTTGATGTATGATCATGTCAGCCCTCTAAAAAATGACCACAGATCTTCATGTGTAAATATGTTGAATTTGCTTTTCTAATGCTGCACGACACAGATAAATTAGAAGCTCTAGCCATCCATTACTCCAAGTCCATCCCAAAGGAGACCTGACTTTTACTGCGATAAATGTAATTTCTCTTGTAATTATAGTTATTTTTAAAATGTGGGTGTTGCTTTCACATAAAGAGTGCTTGACAAAAACAGCTAGACCATTTGATGTTCTGAATAACGATTTGTGGAAGAATTCAGTCACGTTCATCTCAAAAGTCTGCAAATACATGCAACAAGGAGAGTTCAACCTTTTGTTTAACTCGGTATTATTTTCCTTACTGTCTCCTCACTTCAGAAAAATTTACGTTTGTTTTCTGGAATTTGATTCTATTTCTTTTGCCCGATGACAGAGTAGAAGTCTGTCTTCCAGAGATTTTTCTTGGCTCACAACTAAGGCCTCATTATTATTATTATTTATTAAAGCTTAATTGCAGAAACAGCATGATTCCCTCAGCACATGTTTTTCTAAATCTCCGATAAATCACAATTTGCAATACCAGTTTAATTTGGAAAGAGAAGCAAGCCTCACTAGGAGCACATATATCTTGATAACTGTATCCTGACCTATTTCCTGATCTTCCTGACATTGCTGCCATACTGCTGTTTACCCCCAGCACCACCACCATAACCAATGCTGCAAAACAAGTCCTTAAGCCACACTGCTTAAGGATGCTCAAAGACACACTGTCTTGAAAACATTCATATGTTCTACACACCAATCTGTATTTTCTTGCTCTATTTTACCAGTGCAGGCCAATTCAGTGTGCCATTATTGTGGTTTTTAAACTGGCAGACTTCCACTTGTCTGTTTTTGGCTTGTAAATCCCCTGTGCCCATGTTTTCATGGAAGGAGCACAAGTAATCAACCCCACTGGAGCCAAGTGCTCCGCATGCTTAGGCAGTTCATAGGACTGAGCCCTGGATGCTTTGGATGTGCACCCACACAAGCTCCTTGTCATCTCAGACACACACCTACTGATATACACAGATCTCACACTGTTCTGTTGCATCATTTCAGCCCTAACCAAGGAGTTAGTGGCACAACGTTTGCTTATCTGTGCTTTCTCACAAAACATTTCCACTGCTCTTCCTCCTTCTGTATCCTTCACATATGAGCGGACCAATGTGGTCTTAAATAACTGTTTTCTCCTGCTTAACTCTTTTAAGCATACCCTAATTTAGGCATGTTTTCTTGGCTAATGCTTTTATTTATATCTGAGAAAAGAGCCTGCCAAACATTGCTTGTTCTTCGAATTCCTGATAAATATAATTCATTTCACCCAGTTAGAAACAACTCAGTGTTTCCTGGAATAGCCTTCAGTGTAAACATTCAAGCCTATGGCTAAATAAATATTACATGGGACTGGACAAACTGCAAGCTCCATAAATACATAACATTTGAAATATTTCTTCAGTTCCTGGAAGCAGGCAAACACGGTAGCATTACACACCAGGCCTGTTTTTATCAGGCTTAAGATTACAATGATTTCTGTTATACTTGCAGCCTAGAGGATGCTTAGATGTCAGCAAAAGCCACTGTTATTTAGCCAGGCACGCAGATACATCTAAAGAGTGATAACTAGTCTGTCTAACGGTGCAGGCAAGCAAGAATCCCACTGAATAATTTGGCTTTCATTGACTGGAGTCACATTGCCTTTCAGAGTCCAAAACCTACTTGCCAGTTTTAGTAGAGGTTTGACAGCATGCCCACGTATATGATCTAAATAAACACAACTGCAATTACATAAACCTATGCGGCCATGAATATAGATGGCATTTTCCACCTCCAATTCTCTTTGAGCTTATGGAAACTTGTCACATGTCAATATTTATTTATAGATTGCATAAATCTACGAAGCAGCCTTTTTCAATATTTTTCTAACAAGGCCTCTTACTACAAAATGCTCTGTTTGAATGCATATGACAATTACTTTAATTGGGAAAGCCATTGAAGTGAATCGTATAGTAGGGAAGCTTTAATGAATGCAATACATTTTGTTTAGTTGTTCCTCTTTTGCGCCTAATTTAGGAATTCAGCCATATAATTGATGTGGCTATCACCATTCGTGTAGCATGGAACCTATACGAACACAATCTCCATCAGACAAGAGAACTCTTTGAAACACATCCTTCCTGCAGCCAGGCAAAACAAGAAAACAAGAAAGGAAGAGCACAGCCAACTCATCTATTAAACTTCTGCAGAGATTTTTGGATCACAGCTTAAAATTCAGCAGGATAAATTAGCAAAGAGCAAGACCCCAGCTGCTTAGGTAGAATATTCCTTTCATCTGCTAGTAAGGAGTTCTTGTCTGTGTAGTTCAAATGTAAAAAAATCTCGCTTTTGCTGCTCATGAATATAAATGACCATTAAAAATACTTGCTTTGCTTGGAAAATAAAGCCCTCTGGAGAAACAAACTCTGCTACGTTTGAAGCAACAAAATGCTACTCAATCACTACATCTGTTGAAGGATTACAGTCTTGGACAATGCTGTCTGTAGCAAAACAATGAGTGAAAAAGTCCCTTAAAACCACGCAGTGCATCTTTCAGCTGTGCCGTTTCAGATCTAAGAAAAGAAACCATTCTAAATTAAGTACCCAGTAATAAAAGCTGCAGTAAATCCACCTTTCAGGCATCGTATGAGTGTTAGCCTTGAAACGTGAAATGGAATGAAATGTATTTATTTCACTGGAACGAAGACTATCTTTCCTTGTAAGTGCAGCTGTAATGGAACAATTGAAGAGCAGTTAGTTCCACAGTACGGGGCCTCCTAGATGTGGAACTCTAGCCTTAAGCATGTTCAGCCAGCCTGCACACCTCTAAGTGTTTTATAATGAACAATAAAGCAGTCTGTGTTGGGAAAAGTTGTTGAGCTGACTAAGCAGAAAGGCAGACATTTCAAGGTAGGAAAGAATGATCTCCGCAATTGGGCTCCTAAGTGTGAAGGAGAGTATGCACAGAGGCTTTCATCACGTAGGCTTACCTGGAACTGCTCCTTCCCTCTGCTGGTGGGTCCTTTCACTTTGGTCCTTTCACTCTTCTCTGTAGAGGAGAAGGAATAAAGAGCAGAAGATCAAACAGCTCTCTCATCAGTGTACTTGTGACTGATGAGTTGGAAATAAAATTCTCTTTTAGACAAACGTCCATTTTGCCTTATTAATTTGAACAAGGATTTTAAAGACAAAGCCCATCAAGCATTAGATAAGCATTTTAAGTTAATGGACCATGTAGTCCTATTTTCCCAGAAACTCAAGAATCTTCCTATTATGCCCTATTTTCACAGCAACATCAATTATTAATATGTATACTTTTGCTGACAGAGGACCACACTAAAAATGTGAGTTTCGTTATCCAGTTCTGGGTCATTAACTGTGAAAAGCTTGTAAATATAATGGTTTATTCACATGGGAAGCCTTCATTAAGATGCATTATTCTACAACTGATGTGGCAGCACTGCATTATCAAGTTCACTGTCTCCATCTAATATTTGTAATTTGTTTCTAAATGAGTCGCTGTTTGCAGGGCAAGTTAACAAATTTGAATTTCACATGGCCAAAGAAATTTCTTAAAGATAGGAAAATACTTCTTCCCCCAAGGAAAAGCTATTTATTAGTGTCTTACTATAGAATGCCTCCCTTTGATTCAGAAGCAGAAACATTAGAGGCGCTGAGAGAAGCGATGTTAGAAATAAATTGCCTTTTGTCTTCCTTAACGTTCACATTAAGTAGAGAGAGCTGCAAAGTTGCTCTCATCAAATTGTCTCATTACAACACTTCAGAATTCCAGATCAAGTATATGGGCACATGGAGAGTGGGTCTGCAATGCTGCAAGGCACAGGTCAGAGATTGGTCAGCAGGAAAACACTCCTGATGGAACTGTTTGGAGCCGTCCTTTTGCACTGGCCACCTGTCTTGGCACAGCTTCTGCCCTTTCAGTACCTATTTCTTCCATTATTGGATGGACCAATGTTTTTCAGATATACTTCCTTCTGAAGTCTGCTCCTTGAGGAGAGAACACAGTGCCCACCTTTTGCAGTTGCCTCCTCGCAACTGGGCAGGAGTTTAGGGTGACGTATACTTTTGTGATCAGCACAAGAACTGTGGTCAAAAGAAAGCAAGCTTAGCACATTTTCTTTCTTTAACTGCAAAGCAAGAAAATGGAAACCGTGTTTTCTCATACATAGGCTCCCGGATGGGCTTGGTTTTCTTTCCTTGGTTTGAGTCTATCTGACAAAAGAAAAAAAGCTTTTCTATGAAAACGCGCTGCAAATGCACAACAGATGGCAGAGAGCTGACAGCTAAAACAATGGTACAATTACATCATTTTAAAACTGATATCATCTGGACATCTTGTTATATCTCTTCAGCCGCTCCTGCAGCTGGAGTCTCTATTTTTAGGTGATATCATTCAATTCACTCCCATTTTATCTATTTCACCTTCTGGTTAGAATGTAGGTAATAGTCTAACGCTGATTCAGTTTCTTGGTCTTCCATACCCTGATGTAATCTTGGATCAGTTCTTACAGGTCAAGGAAGCAGTTTTTAAGACATTACCAATTTTACTTCCTAGGCCACGTGTATGTAAGTTCTTTTGATGTTTCCTCATGTGTCAACCCCTTTCTCCTCCTGTTACTAAATGAAAATGATACTTTTCCTGTCCCCATTTTCTGTCAGTTCTTCAGTCCGTTTTCGTACCCCACCAGCTGGAGTTTGCTTGGGAAGATCCGGAGAGACACCAAGTTTGTTGGCATAACTCATTGATTTCAAAGTAACTGAAGGAAGAGTCAGGCCAGTTGAATGTTCACCTGTAAAGCTGCCCTTAAAATCAGATAGCTGTGGCATGATTTCCTCACAGCTGTTCAGTGCTTTCCTCCTCCTCCCCCCCTAGAAAGGAAACCAGCTCTTGGTTCTTTACATGCACAGGCCTCCCATTCTCCACTCATAAGCACAGTGCACTGCATGTGTTCTCCATTACACCGCCATGAATCCTTCAGGACTCATTTGTCATGACCAGATCTGCTCTTCTTTCCATGCTCTCCCTCACCCATCTGACTCAGTGCGTGCTATTTCCAGAGCTTTGCACCAACGGAGGACCCCCATTGGGCAACTGGATGTCCATCGCTAGGCCTCCTTCAAATGGTGCCATCTGTTATGGACGTCTCTCTCTATCATTACTCACAACAGCTCGCCTGCCAGAACTGATTCCCACTCAGATCAAGTGTCTTTTTGTACCTGCCATCTCTCACTATCTTGTTGGCTCCTTTCCATAGCCTCCTCCCCATGAACCCAGCTTAGATAAATTCCACTCTCCCAGCAATGGAAGCAATCAAGCAGCAGCGCATTTCACATCAGCAGCAGCCTTTTTGTCCATGTAAATAAGTGAGCAGTGAGCATACCCTAATTTAGAAAATACTAACAACAGGGAAGGAATAGGACTGGAAGAAAGAACGGTCGAATGAGAATGAGGCCATATCAACCCTCCTGTTCTTTAATGAGTTATTGAAGATGGTTAGCTGGACTCTCATTGATAGAAGTGGTTTAGTTTGCCTTATAATTGCAAAACAAAACAAGGAAAAGAAAAAGATGAAGGGCAAATACAACAGAGCATCTCTTCATAAGCCATTCTGGAAAGGTAGAGGCCTTGCATGGATTTTGGAGACTAGAGCATGTGCTGTAGCTCTGTTGCCATCAGCATCTGAGTCAGCTGGTTTAGAGTTAGCTGGACTGTGTCCACACCAGCTTCGTGACTTTGGACTCAAGCATAGGTGTGGTCTGTATTAGTTTACTGGGAGATAAGAATCTCCTGCTTCTAGTCTTGCTCACACAGGCATGTTCTTGCCAATTTAAATAGTTCTTACCTCATCTGACATTGGCACTGATGAAAGACACGTGGGCAGTAAACTTGCAGTGACGAGCAGCTAGCCATCAAAGGCTCCCTCTGGGCTGACTGGAGAGCAGCTGAGAAGAGAAGCTGAGTGAAGAAGAGGCTCAGAGGTGAATGAAAACGGATGCTCTCCTGTCTGTGCTGCTGCACGACTGTCCTGCTCAGCACATTGTTCCATGCTTGCCCACACCGCTTCCCTTGTGATGGCTCTGGCTCTCAGCTGCCTCCTTGGTTGACTGATTCACCTCATTATAATGAGAGAGAATTAACCTAGGGGAGAGAAAAGATAAAGGAGATTATTTCCTATTTCTTAGAGAGCTGGTCTGGTTCACTGCAAGGTCAGCGGAGTGCCAGTGCCAAAAAAGGAGAAGGCAAGGGCCACACAGCCAGCAGACAGGGGGGAAGGGGAACTGGCCCTTTTCAGGGCCAATCAGCTGTTCAAGCAATGAACCACCTCATGAAAATTCACCCTTAAGAGGTCACATAACTCATGCAGAGAAGCCAGTCTTTCTCTACCACCTGCAAGTCAGCCTAAAGCTGAAGATACCCTTGTGCCTCTTGCACTGAGTTGCCTCAGCCTGATCACTGGTTCTGTTTCTTCCAGCCTCCCAAAGTAGATAGGACAGGATGGGATCACCGAGCACACCTCCAGCATTCATCACAGCTACCTGTGCTCATGGAAATACTGAGTCCCTTTCTTCCATTCCCAGATTTCTTTCCCTTATCCACGTTCTTCTCACACATCTTCAGCAGGAAATGCTGGAAAACATACTTCTAAATAAACAGCCCTTCCCTCCACTTTCCCCAGCGTGCAGCTAGTTAGAAAAAAACAGTAGGTTGTCTGAGCATAACACAGTGTCTGTTCAGACTGTGCCACAGCAGTGTAGAAAGACATGGAATAGCTGTGTTGGCTTTAGCTGGCTCATCTCTTCATTAGCAGCTTTGGGACCAGTACCTCTGGGCCATAGCACTCTGCTGGGAATGCACAGTTCCTTAAGCATTACACCAGTGAAGCTAAAAGTTGAGCGTGGAACTATGGAAGGGAAGTGAATCTTGCTTCTAAATTATAACCTGGAAAGCAAGCCCTATGGGTCCACTTTGCTAGAGCTGGCTGTTCAGAAGTTCATTTAACGTTGCAAGTAAAATACAAATCAGTAGTGCTCACAGTAGCTGTGCTGTCCTTTCAAAGAGTTGCTGTTGAAAGGGAAGAATTGGAAACACTTGATGGCTATAGAAAGTGACAAATGAGTGAAGATAACATCTCAGGGTGAGAGGCAAACATCTTCGGGTCATATATTCAGGCAGAGAGCAAGTGCAGCTGCCGATCTGAAGCATGCTGCTCTTCTTGTTTCCGTCTGAATATTTTCTCAGTGATGGCCTTGACCAATTCCTTTTCCACACACTGCAGATGCAGGGAAGGCAGTAAATTGCTTTCCTGAACGGGGCCTCTAACGCTTTCTTTGGACGGTGTGCAAACCCGCTGTATACTTTCTGAAACCAAATTTGCTTGGCACTCGTTAGTGATTTTTGGAAGCTGGTTGAAGCATGGAAAAACACCGAATAACCGATCTTAATTGTAAGCTGGCCAAACCTTTGATAGAAGCTTTCTTGTCTTTGCGGGAGTCCTCTGGAATTAGGACTTGCAGCACAGTAGAAAACACATTTCCAGAGTCAGAGTGAGGAGAAAGTGTTACTGAGTCAGTCTGAGATCCGTTGAGTTAAAGACACGCTCTGAAGGTGGGAAGCCAGGACAGAGATGCAGACGTGGGCTTTTGTTCACATCTGCTGCCACCTATACGTGAGCCACAGCCTTTGAAGAGGACAAAACACAGCATCACAAGAACAGCTTATCACATTTTCTCCTCTTTCCCATTCTTCAGTTTGGCACACACACTGTCTTATAACATCAGTCCGTCCTGGGTAAGTGGGAATTATTTTGTTCTGGAATTACTGAAAAACTCAAAGCTAATTTACGTTGTTAAAAAAATATCCACTTTTCTTTACCTTCCAAGGTGAGAATGGCTCATAAAACACTGGGAACACATTAACTTTATCAACCATTGCAAACTGAAAAATGCAAAGTTTCGGGCCACCCACACAGATGGTATTTTTCATGCTTCTGTATTTGCATACCAGAGAGACTTTCATTTTTATC